ATTAGGGCCATCAGGGGAAGGTGGAGCAGTTCCACGCTTGACTGCTGTCTCTTTTGCACAAGATAAGGCAGCAGTCAAGCTATAATGTGTGAGCTATAAAACAGCTGCTGCTTCATTTCCACCCTTCTAATTTTGCACAAGAATTTTTTTTGACCAACTATAATTAGAAACAGAGGAAAGAAAAATATGGGAAATGCTGTTGAGCCTACCTAAACTGATGCTACCAAACACTCCCATGTCTTCACTGACTCCTGAGAGAAGATGGTGAAATCTTCCACTAGAGTGGTGAACATATCTACTTCCCCTTAGAGCATAATCATTTTTGCTTCATATACTTTGGATATTTATTTTGAGGTATATGCAAATTTTAGACTGTTTTGTCTCTTTGGAGAATTTACCCATTTATCATTATATAATGTCCTTCTTTTTCCTTGATAATATTTCTTTTCTAAAGTCTACTTTGTACAATATTGCATAGCTACCCTACCTTTCTCATGGTTAATGTTTGGAGAGTATAAGATTTTCTCTTTAATCTTCATGTATAAAGTGAATTTCTTACACAGCATGTAACTGTACTGTGCTATTTAAAATAAAATCTGACAATCTTTGTTTTTAACTATTTTTAAAGGTTATTGTTGTTGCTTTTAAAATTGTATTTTTTAAGAGTTTCAGTTTAGCCCTGTTTATGTTAAAGGCTACTAATCTGGCTGAATTAAAATCTACTATGTCCCCTGTGTTTCTCCTTTGCTAGCAAAGCAATAAAACTTTTTTTTTCTTTTTTCTCAAAATCTTGCCTTCATTATTGGATTGGCATTGGGAATGAGGACCCAGCTTTTGGTAACACTTTTGTGTTAAATGAGTATGTTTATGCTCCTGTTATAGCCTAGTCAGTAAGCATCATAGACTATAGGGTACAAATCAATAAGATAAGGTAGAATTATAGGATAAGTAGTGTTAAACTATTCTAGTTATAAATTAAGAATTTAGCCTAAGTGACTCCATCTTAAAAGAAACTATCTTGATTGGAGTGGCCAATTAATCCAATTAAGAAACTTTAATTGTTGCAACCCCTGCCCAACTGTAAATGTCAACACCCCCCCCCCCCAAGGAAAAATCCCTAGGGACTTCAGACAGACACTTGTAACACTGTAGTTGCCTGCTTAACTGCTAAATTTAGCTTCTGTAACAGAGCTTGCTTTGCACAATTACAGACCCCTGCGCAGGGTGGAAGTGGTTTTTATTTTAAAAGGCTTGTGTGCGCAGAGGTGGACATTGCACCCTGAACAGCATCTTGCTGAGGGGCAGTCACCAGCGGGCTAATGAAGACTCCAATTTGGACAAAATTTGGACTGAGAGTGTTTACTGAGCAATCAGCCCCATAACACTCCCATTTTGCCTTCTCTATTGATTTATTACTCATATCTCTTTGTTGTGTGTAAAATTTTTGTGTAAATTTTGTTTAAACTGATTGCCCTAGATTTTGCATTATGTATTTTATTTTTATCTATATTTCAAGTGTAGAGAATTTATAATAATATATTCCTAACTTTCCTGTCATTATCTCATTGTTATTACTTTTACATGTTGTGTAAACACAATATATTGCTACTATTTTTATTTAAATTTTAATTTTTTAGATAATTAAAACTGAAAAAAAATTATCTTACCTTCATCTATTTAATTTCCAGGACTTTTTACTCCTTTGCGTAGAGCCAAATTGCTGTGGACATAACATACCTTCTGCTTGAAGAATTTCTTTTGATATTTCTTATAGAGTGGATCTGCTGGCAATTAAGTCTGAACATTTGGCCTAGAAACCCTTTATTTCCTTTTCATTTTTGAAAGGCATTTTCTCTCTTTGAAACTATGGCTTGATACCCTTTTTTCCCAGCACTCTGAGAAGGTCACTGTGTTGCCTTCTAGTTCACAGGGTATCTGCCATAAGCTCTGCTGTGATTCTAACCTATAATGTGTCTTTGCTCTCTGGCTGCAGTCAAGATTTTCTCTTAATCTTTTTTTCCATGAAGTTTGACTATGATGTGGTAGGTATGGGTTTTGTCATTTTTTTCTGTTTGGGATACATTTAGTTTCTTAGATTTGTCACAGTGGTTATGGTGTACATGACAGGGGTGGTAATGTTTATGAAGATATTTTGTTATGAGTTTTAGAAAATTCTTGGCCATTATTTCTTCAAGATTTTTCCTCCCACAAATTCTTCTCATCAACTTCTGGATATCTAATTATGCACATATGAAACTGTCTGATTTTTTCCCACAGCAATTCAGTGCTCTGTTCTTTTTTTTTTCTTTCTTTCTTTTTCTTTCTTTCTTTCTTTCTCTTTCTTTCTTTCTTTCTTTCTTTCTTTTTCTTTCTCCCCCTCCCCCTCTCCTCCCCTCCTCCCCCTCCTCCTCCTCCTCCTCCTCCTCCTCTTCCTTCTTTTTATAGGGTGAATACCTTCTATTGACCTATCTTCAAGTTCTTATTCTTTCCTGCCCTGTCTCATATATATTGATGTTTTCAACAGAAACATTGTTCATCTTTATTACTGTGTTTTCATTTCTATAATCAATTCTTTATTATAATAAGTTTTCATCTCTGTTGGAATTACCCATCTGATCTTGCATGTTGTTTACCTTTTCCATGAAAGCATTTTAGTTGTTAATTATAGTCAAATTTCTTCCCTGATAGTTTCAACATCTGTTCCACATCTTATTTTAATGATCACTGTGTTTCCAGAGAATGTGATAATTTTCTTCTTTTCTCTCTAGTTCATAAACTTTTGTTGAAATGCTAGACATCTTGTGTAGGGAAACAAGTTGAGAAAAACAGTTTTTATATGTGAAAATTGGCCTGTCTTTCCTTTTTTCAGTACTTTCATGTGGAAATTTAAGTTAATGGAGTCAGGGAATTGGCTGGATTTGAGGTTTGAGGTTGTTTCCTTCAGTACAACCTCAATAGTCTTTATATTTCTTCTGGTAGGCACATACTTTTCCTTAGATTTGGGGGCAGTTGATTGCTCTGTGATCTCATGTTTCCAAAGAGTTCATGAAAACTTGTGTATTTATAATTTTCCCCTCTTTTTGCATTCTACCTATAGTAACAACACCGTTTTTAGCTCTCCAGATTCCCAAGTGGAATCTGTAAACTGGCATTGTATTTTCATTGTAAAATGTGTTTATACTCTGCATCATCTCCAGTTTACTGCAGACTGTAATATTTTTTTCTGATATGACATTTTATCATTTTGTAGAACCGTATTACCATATTGGACTCTGCAAATGTTTGAAATTTTGACTCCGGCTTTACAAACTTCAGAAGTCTTTGGTTAATACTGATTCTAAGTAAGCAATTTTGGAATTGTTTCATCAGGTATTATCCAGTTTTTCCTTAAATATTGACTATAAAGAACACTTTGCTGAGGGAAAAAAAATCTCTTTTTTTTCCCTACAACTAAAATTCTCACTTCTTGAAGTGCCACTGTTTTTGTCCATTGTGCTGCTATAACAAAACACCTGAGACTGAGTAATTTGTAAACAATGAAATGTATTTCTCAATGTTCTGGAGGCCAGGGTGTTCAAGATCATGGTACTGTCAGTTTCAGTGTCTGGTAAGGGCCTGTTCTCTGATTTCAAGATGGTACATTGTAGCTGCCCTTTCATGGCAGAAGGCAGAGAGGCAAAAAGGCAAACATGCTGAACTCCTTACAATAAGGATTCCTAATTCCATTTATGAGGTCAGAAGCCCTCATGATGTAATCACTTCCTAAAGTTCCCACCTCTTAATATTGTTGCTTTGACAATTAGTTTTTAACTTATAATTTTGGGGAGAACAGATACATTTAAAATATGATAACCATGGTTTTAAATTCATATTTTCAGAAACCTTAATCAATATATTATCAGTTATCATCACATGAGTAAAAGGAAAGTTCCTGAAAGGTTGGAGCTAAGTAAAGGTAAATTTTGAGACCTAGAATAGATTTAAGATGGAAATGGAGCATACAGCATGGCATACCTGGTATGTGAGGAAGAATAAAATACACAATGAAGATATGAATGTTGGGTGCAGGATGAAGTAAGGAAATAGATGTCAAAAAAACTAATAAGGGCAATGAAAGGAATTGATCCATGGCAAGTTTGGGAGTGAAGGAAATGATTACCAAACAGACAAAACCTGTTTTACCTTATTTTTTTCCTTAGGGACAGAACTAGATGTCACTATCAATTTATTACACCTCATATCCATTGGTCTAATGAGGGTATGGACATACTCAGAAAAACCATCGGGTACAGGAGAACAGAGATTTAAACTACTCACTATCCTTTTTCTAAAGTCAGTGTATGTTTATTTATGGAATTTCACATGTTGTGATTCCTTCTACTGCCTATCAAGTTTACCTTAAAAAAACAAACAAGGAGCTGGGGTTGTGGCTCAGCAGTAGAGCACTCGCCTAGCACGTGCAAGGTGCTGGTTTCCATCCTTAGCACCACATAAAAATAAATAAATGAAATAAAGGTATTATGTTCAACTACAACTAATAAAATAAAATAAAATAAAAGTCCAAGGGGGAAAAAAAGGTCGCCTTTATTCTTCTAGAGCCTGAGTCAAGATTTACCTTCAAGACAGGTCTTTTTTTGTTTATTTAGTTTTTTCTTTACTTTTTAAGAATTTTATTGGTGCCGTATAATGGTACATAACAGTGCAATATATTGGAGCCCATGCTTCATCCACAGCTGTCTTGTTGGCCCACCAATGATTTTATCTGGGCTTCTTTGATCTCTACTGAAATATAGATATAATGACAATAACCCCCAAAATGCCACTCCTCTCATTTTCAGGATCTGATTTTTTTTTTCCTCAAACAATTTACCTTAGGGTAAAGTTGAATTCTAAAAAGCATATGGGTATTGTAGAAAATGAGCTAACACGTGTTCCTCCTTAATCATTTGTAATATGGGAGTGGATCTTTTTCTCTTGCTGTAGTTCACCAAATTAGCCGACAGAGTCACAGGCCTCCTTGTCACCACTGCAGCACATTCATGGTGATGGAGCACACCTGCTCCTCTGTTGACCCCCGTTAGTAATTTCTCGACACTATGGTCAACAGTGTCAGCTCTCACCCGGAATGAGGTTACAAAAGTCTCCTTCTACAGCTTGAAATTTTGGTCTGTCACATTTCTAGGTCACCTTAAATTGCCCACTATCAAAGGAATATTTCCCTGCTTAGACCAACTATGGTGTTACTGTTTTTGTAGTTCAGCTGTTTTTCTTCAGGTAGAACCAGCTCTATTTTTTGATGTCACATTCCTCTTTCATCATAATTCTTGGTGCACAAAATGACATTTTGACTGACTTTGAATCTTGTTACCTGCATTTAAAGATTTTTCTCAGCAAATAGAAAGAGAGAGCCTCTTGCAACAGCAGAGTGGCACACTCTGCACAGTGGCACACTTGCACAGTGGCACTCTGGATTCGGATAGGCCAGGGACATTGTCCCTACCTGCAGTCATTGTACATGCAGCAAGCAAAATTCAGAGTCATAAAACAATTTTTTTATCCCACATCTTTATATGATTTCACACATGTCATCTTTATTTTGCTGAGACAGCCTGAGAGCAGTAGAAAAGGGCTGAATAAAGCGATTTTTTGACAGAGCACTTTGCGGCTTCCAAAGGATTTCTGTAGTAAGTTCACACATCTGATGAATCCAGTGTTGTGAGGAAAGCATTAAATTATTACTCATTTTTAATGGGTAAAGTTCCCATGGAATAGACAACTTGACCAAGGCCACACCACTAATGACTGACAGGCTGAGTTCTAGGCTCATGATTCCTAACAGGGTATCATTTCTGATTAACTTGGTGAAAATAGATGGATTTGACAGAACCATCTGGTTATATGAGGCTAAAAGTGCAAGATACTGCCAAAGATTACCCCATAAACAAATCCAAACCAGATCTGCACTTTGCTCTAGCTGTCAATTATTTATAGCATAGACTCTGTCCATTTATTTCTGCCTGCTGACATTTTACAGTTGCTTCAGACCTATTTTAAACAAGACTTCTTCCACGAAACCTCTGATCCCTCTCAACTACATATGATCTCTTTTGAACAAAGAAAGTTGCTGCCCCAGTGGCTGGTGGATGTTAATGAAGTTCTTCATTACATCACAGCAGTGTATCATTTGGTTTGTTATTCTCTTTTGATGAATACCTCCTACCTGATACAAGTTATTTTCTGTATATGCACTTACTGAAAACAATCATAAAGCCCTGTACAAATAAGAATTGCATTTTTCTTACCTTTATCATAGTTAGGACCTGGTTCACTAATTTTATATAAATGGACATTCTAATAATTATTGGAAAAACTTTGATTATTTCAGTCTACCAAGGATCATAAACACTGGCAAATGAATATAGGACTATAAATCAGATGATATAAAAGAGAAGCATCCTTTGGCAACTTACAGTGTGTACTCCCACTAAACAGGGAAACCAGCATCAAGCTCCACCACAGCCCCTGGGGGAATGCTGGTGCCAGAAAGGATAGTGATAAAGCCATATGCTGCAATATGAGCCACATTATCTGAGTCTGAATCCAACCTCTGAGGTTAGATAGAAGATTTTAAGAATTCCCATAGCCCTTCTGTGCTACAGCTGTCCTGAGATGCTTTAAGATTAAGCACAATACAGATATAGCTGTATAGATTTAGATACATGAGACTTATCATAAGGTATTGGCCCACATGATCAGGGAGGCTGAGGATCTACTGTTGCATGCTGGAGACCCAGAAACTCCTGTGCTGTTTCAAAGACCTGAAAGCTGTGAAGGACTGATGGTATAGATTCTGGTCTAAGGGTGAAGGGCTCAGAATGAGGATCACTGAGGGAAGAAGAAGATAGATGTCTCAGCTCAACCAATGAAGCAGAGAAAGAGTCTTGCCTTCCTCTAAATTTTTGTACTGTGCAGGACCTGGAAATATTGGAAGATGCCCACCCACATTGGGGAGGTCCATCCACTTTACTCACTTTACTGATTAAAGTGCTAATCTTTTTCATAAAAACCTTACAGTCACACAAGAAATAATGTATAGCCAGATATCTCAGAATCCAGTGATCCGGTTCAGTTGACACACAAAGTCAACTATTTCCAGCAATTATAACAATGCCTACTATGTATTACATGCCAAGTAGAAGTAGCAATTTTTCATTTTTCAATAAGTCATAAACCTAAATATTTACATGAAATCCCAAAGTCCACATGTTGATGATGTCATTAAAATTTTGATTACAGTCCTGTATTTTAAAACTGTTAAAACATATTTGTGGCCACTAATTTTTAATCTCCATAGTATGTGAATCTTCTGCTTTACTATTCATGCTATATAATTAGTCAATTAGTTAAGTGGAGTACTGGGGCTTTTGCAGTGAATGAAACCAAAGAGAACTGTTCTGTGGTGGATCATTTTGGTGGTGGTGGGATGTGAAGGTGGATGAAAGAGTGATAAATAGGATGACATAAAATAAACAGGTAAATAATATATTCAAGAATCATAGGTTCCAAGGAGGAAATTCATGGTGGTAGGAGGAAAGAGACAACTGAAGCATGGGGGAAGGTAAAATATTCTATATACAATGGTTAGTGAAGGCCCGTGTAAACAAAGGCAGATGGAAATGCAAGTCTGGAGTTCAGGTGGTAGGCTAGGCATTGGAATGTGCATTAGGAATAACAGACAATTAGAACTCAAATTCATGTTGAATAAAATTACTATAGAAATGAGGGTAAGTAAGCAGCCATGAAGACAGAACCACAGGGTGTTCCACATTTAGAGCATGAGAAATTAAAGAGCAGGAGAAAGCAGATAAGGAGAAGCCAGTCAGTGCCATGAGGGAGGCTCAGTAATGGCTCTTTCTAGAAGGACCTCACAAGCAATGCTCTTGACAAATAGAGGAGTGAAGCATTGATTGGCCGGTGAACTTGGCAATGTGGAGATCAAGTGGTAATTTTGACAAGGGAAATATTAATGGATTGATGGGAACAAAACGAGGAATAGAGTGGGTTCAAGAGAGAATGAGAGAAGTTTGGGAGTCATTTCACTAATTCTCTTGTTGGTTTTGATGAGAACGGGGAAATGTGACAATAGCTGAAGAATACAGAGTAATGAACTTGGATTTTGATATTGCTGCTGTTGCTGTGGTTAGCTGGTTTCCAAAGATGGGAGAGGTTTTAATGTGCTTATCTGTTGATGGTAATGATCCAGTAGAGAAGGAGGCTTTATCAGTGAAAGAAAGAGCAGAGAAGGATCTGGGTCAATTGTAAGGCAGAAGTCCTTGAGGGGAGGCAAGGGAGAGCAAATGGCTTTTGGTTAAAACAGAGCAGGTGAATCAATTTAAAATTGTGGAGAGAAAAATATATGGGTGCAAATGAGGTAGAGTTCGCAGTTTAAGCCTCTGTATTTCTCTTGTTTGCTTCTATTTACTAGTGACATAAGAAGTCATGTTCTTGCAGTTCATTTCCAGACCCTGTGACTTACTCATCTTTGTACCATTGATCTTATTATTCCTTCCACTCGGAATTCATTCCCTTAATTCTCTTGTTGAAATCTCCATCAGTCTTCAATGTCCAGCTTAAAAACCACTTCCTGGAAATTTTCTGATTCTCCTATCAGGGAAAGCTCCTTTGGTCTGCTAAAGTACATACAGTTGGGTTACCTGCTCTGCATTTCATGATAGAGCAGCTTTTGCATGTTAGCTATTATGGGCTCTTGACCACCTTTATTAGACTGTAAGCACTTGAGCACTATGGGATGAAAAAATTTTTTTCTTCCTAGAAGTTAGCCAGGGAGTTAGCAGATAATTAGGCAGTGGTAGTAGTAATAGTAGTAGTTAGGTGGTAGGTAAGTAGCAGATATTAGCTAGGGGTAGTTAACAAGGCAAAACTACCACAGGTAGTAGTTAATTAGGGAGATAATAGTGTTTTGAAAATATTATTGCTCTTGAATTTAATTTATTGGAGAAGCGAATTATACAGTTGTTATATGAATATCTGTAGTTTCGACTTCTATTCTTGATAAAGTCTGTTTGACTAAAAATGTGGGGTTTTTTTTAATAATTTTTGCCATTCTTTTTAGGAGATGCCTTTGTACTATAAATTATGTTACAGTTAATTTGATTCTGGAATTTTGCCATGCTTTTTAAATTTTCTATGTCTTTTTTCTTTATACCATGTGACATATAATTCAAGGAAAAATGCTTTCATTCCCCATTCTCTTCCACATCAGCAAGAAATTAAAAACAGAGGCCAGAAACCATATTTATTATTGCAGCTGGCATTTCTGTTCTTTCTTTAAAATTCACTATCCTTTGATTACAGAAGCATTCATGCTAGACATATAGTCAAAATATCTCTACATCTACCAGAAAGACAAGAAAGACATAGGGTTCTGTTTCTCAGCATAAGTAAGCACTAAGGATTCAGTAAACCAAATAAATACACAGGGTTCAGTCTCAGAACATTTTTAAAGAAAAGTTAGGGAAAATAAAATTATTTTAACATACTAAATGGACTTGAGAGGAATCCCAACATACTACATACATACAATAAAGAAAATGTTAGTAAATCTATAAATTAAACTTTGTGAGATTGTTTTCGTTACTGTTTTATAAAAATTTAAAAAGTGATACCAAATATTCACTTTATAAATTCATTTGTAAAAGGTAGAGCCAAACTAGTTTGGAAAACAAACATAAATAACATTGTGCTTCTGAACTCTCAGTTTTCATCGACTTTTTAAGTGGCAGCTCTTTTAGGCCTGCCTGTAGAAACTGATATAAATGCAAGACTTTTCTGAGAATGAGATTTTATTACCATTGAGGATGGACAGATGTAGATAACATGACATTGACTTTTTGGGTGCACAGTTCTGTGAGTTGTAACCCACATATAGATATGTATCTTCTTCCAGATTCAGTATTCAGAGCAATTCCTTTACCCAAAAGCTCTTTCAAGCTGCCTGTGGTATTAACACACTCCAGCCAGCCCAACTCTGGGCTGTAGCTGACCTTTTCTCCTTGGCTATGCATTTGTTCTTTCAAATACATTTTACTCAGTGTTTCCCACAAGGGTTTCCA